GACCTCCATTATTTGAATGTCAGCAGACAGCAAGAAGCCTCCCAGATCTCCAGATGCATTTGAGATATCAAAAAAATACTCCAGAGTGTTGTTCAGCATGGGGGTGAGTAGAAAATGAAGGCTAATCATGTTTTGGGTGTACTATTGCTTTAAGCTAATGGCTGCTACCTATTTAGCTATCTGGAGCAGGAGTTTTTCTGAATGTCTTATGTTGATCTCAAACGATGCATTTCAAATAAACAACCCAACACTTAGCCTGGTGGCTCGCTAGGCTTATAACATGCTGGGGGATATAATTAAAGACATATGGCAACAAATTCCAGACTTTTTTTAGGTGTTAAATTTAAATGTGTAAATTTAAGACTCTTAAGACTTTTTAACAACCCGCGGGAAACATGTATCCAGACCTACAAGAAAACCTTCAAGATCTCAATACATTTTTTCAAAAGTCCAAGTAACTACTTGTAAAAAGTTGTCAAATCGCTAAAAAATGTTTATCATCAATTTGGTAAATATATCCGTATTTAATATATACAAACCCTGTTGTTCATTCTTTTTTAATTTCTTTCTTTCTTTATTTATTTTCTATGGGTGTATTACTTGGATTATTTCTAATATGTTGTGAATATCAATTTAAAACAGTGTATATTCTCTATGAAAAATGTTAAGTACAGTATTCCCAATTAATAGTTAATCTTCCCCCACAGTGATCACTAAACATCAGTTTCTATGGTTACCAAGCACAGTCAGGAGGAGGAGACAAGGAGGCAGATAAAACAACAGGAGACAGAACCAGAATTGGGCTGCTGCTGTGGTCTAGAGCAATGGAGGAAACTGAGCTCTGCTTTCCCCAAATGTTCAACTCCTCCTGCAGGAGGCCAAAGCGTCCCTACTTCGAGGTCATGCTGGTTTATGTTGTACTTTCTTTTATCTCTATCCTCACTGTAATGCTCAACCTACTAGTCATTATTTCAATTTCACACTTCAGGTGCGACCATTTTAATGTTGGGTAGATTACTCTTACAATGCTGTACATATTTAATATGATATCCAATATTTCAGTTTATGTAAAGTATTCTTGTTCTTCTTCCACAGGCAGCTCCACACTCCCACCAATGTCCTCCTCCTCTCTCTGGCTGCCTCAGACTTCCTTGTTGGTCTTCTCATGTTTTTTCAGATTATTCTCATAAACGGCTGTTGGTTCCTCGGTGACATTATCTGTGTTTTGTATCAGTATCTGGCTTATACTATTACCGCAGCCTCAATAACAACCATGGTTCTGATTTCTGTTGATCGTTATGTGGCCATTTGTTATCCTTTGCAGTACCCAACTAAAATTACACAGAAAGTAGTGAAGTTCCTTGTCTGCCTGTGTTGGTTTGGCTCCATGATATTTCAATGTGTTATTCTGAAGGATGATCTACAACAGCCAGGCAGGTATAACTCCTGTTATGGCGAGTGCATCATTGTTATTAACTACATTGTGGGATTTGTTGATATGACCTTTAACCTTATTCTTCCCATCACTGTAATTGTGATTCTGTATCTAAGAATATTCATGGTGGCAGTGTCTCAGGCCCGGGTGATGCGCTCTCACATTGCAGCTGTTACTCTGCAGGTTCCCCTAACTAGAATGAAATCTGAGATGAAAGCAGCCAGAACACTTGGTGTTGTTGTTGTTGTTTTTCTTCTGTGCATGTGTCCATATTTTTGTGTTGCTCTCACAGGCCAGGACCAGCTGCTTAATGCATCATCTGCAACTTTTGTCATTTATTTAATTTACTTCAATTCCTGCCTAAATCCTGTTATTTATGCATTTTTCTATCCCTGGTTCAGAAAATCTGTCAAACTTATTTTAACACTGGGGATTCTGCTACCTGGCTCTTGTGACATCAATGTGATGTAGAGAAATTCTTTGTGAAGTTTAATGTTGGTACATTGGTCAATATATCAGGCTACACCATTCATCTCAGTCAACTATATTCTCTCAGGCTACATGTTATTGTATTTACTGTGTAGTAGTGTAGGCTTAGTTTAAATGTAAGCTAAAGGCTGAACCACTATTAGTTTTAGATATTTGGCAGACGGGTACAGACGGAGAGACAGACAGACAGATGCATATAGCAGTGTAAAAAACTGTTTGACATGCACCCCTTCCTGTCTTCTTATTTTTAATATTTTTACACTTTAGCAATTTTGAACATCAAACAAACTAAAATACCAGTTAAAGACAACTTACGCCCCTCCCAGATCTAAGAACTTGGACCCCGTTAGCAGCAACAAATACAGTTAAAGGTATAGTGGTGGATTTTCACAAATTTTTGAAAAGACATGTGCACATGTGGCACCCTGTACCCACTCCCGAGGGGGAACGCCGATTAAAGCATTCAAGAGCATGCATTTCTCCTCGTGCACGCTCTGTTCAAAAGTTGCTGTTTGCATCGCTCATATAAGCTTACTTTCCAAAAGAAGATTTGCAATTTTTCCACTGTCAGACTCACCACCATGTTAATAAGAGAAAACCTGCCTTTCTAAAATTACCTCCCCTCGCACATACTGATCAGAAAACGGATTGAAATATGAATGAAAAGGGAACCTTTATAGATATTCTTCATATTTTAATCTTTCTTATGCATGGATGCCCTAAAATTTTGTTTTGGTGGTCAGATAAATGTAGATAAATTCCTGCCTGTGGAGAATTACCTCCCATGCCGCAAGACGTACCTAAACTCTTGCACTTAGATAAGAAAATGAATTGAAATATAAATGAAAAAGGAACTTTTAAACACATTCTTAATGTTTTGTCAGGAATTATATAGAATGGTTTTGATCGCAAAAGCAGGAAATGCTATCCACTGAGCAGAGAATATATTCATTGGATACTGACTGTAGCACATTGACTAAAACCTTTCTCCATACACGTAAAAATTGTATTCATTTGACTTTATTTGTCCACCAAATCTCTCAATTGTAAGGCATCCATTCACAAGAAATATTAAAACATTAAGAATATGTTTAAAAGTTCCCTTTTCGTTCATTTTTCAGTCCGTTTTTTTATCCTCAGTGGAGGAGAGGAGAGGTAATTCTCTGAAGCCAGTTGTTTCTCTGCATAGGGTTAGGTGAAAATGGGGACGTGCATGTAGATCAACCTAACTTGAACATATCACCAGAATGATTGACAATTAGGGGGATCACTTATTTTGATGATCCACCCAGAAAACGACCTTCATCCAATATACCTTTAAGCATTTGCGATAAGATGCATAATGTTATTTTTAATGCTGTGAAGACATTTTAGCCCACTCATCATTGCAGAATTTTAATTCATGCCTTTTAAAGGTCATGCTACATCATCTCTGTAGAAGGGTCAGGACTAGGACACTTTGACTAGGCCACTTCACAGTCTCCCTGATGTTTTTTATTTAAATTATTTAGGTACACTTTCTGGTGTGTTTTAGATTATTGTTCTTCTGCCAAGTTGGTTTAAGCTTAAGATTAAAAACAGCTTGTTGAAAGTTCTACGTCATGCTTTTTGGCAGACTTCATGGTTACATTTATTACGGCAAGTCTTTTAGGCTCTGAAGCAGGAGAACAGGCGCAGACCATCACACTACAGCCATATCATCTCTCTACTGTTATGACATTGTTTTCCTGAAAAGAGGAGCTACTATTACTTCAGATGTAATGGGACACACACCTTCCGAAAAGTTTAACTTTTGTGTCCCCATTCAACGGAAGACTTAAGTTTTTAAGTGTGTCAAAATGTCAGCAAACATTAGGCCTGGGTGTAGTAAAAAAAAAGTAAATTGAGGTCCAATAAACAATTGGGTTATGCTTAAACAGATGGTGTGAATCACCATTTTAAAGAGGACCACGTGGGTTTAGATTTATTTTTCTCCATTAAGGGATAATAAACATAGAAAATGAATATTTTTTGTTTACTTGTGTTGTCTTTCAACAATGTATTCAGAAAAGCATGCAAAAAGTTAGAAATTAGGAAAGATCAAACATTTTTTTCCTCACTGTGTATTTCTGACATAGCAGTTTTAACAGAATTCAGTTCCAAAACTTTTTTAAGGTTACATTTTAGGCCTTAGTTCCTTCACAAAACTAATGTTGTGTTGATGCTTAAATTATATCTGCTTTACTTACATCCTTTAATCTTATCCTCAAAAAGCCTCCAATGTTTCTCTACACAGCAGCTCTGGAAAATATAGTTAATATTTGTATCTGATTTTTTCTGCTCACAAGACTTAATTCTGTGGGGAATTTTGGCCTAGTGGTTAGAGCAGTGCGCTTGTGCTCTGAGAAGGTTACAAGTAGCCGGTTTGATTCCCACAGCCTGCACTCTGGAGTCCTGAGTAGGACCCTTAACCCCACACTGCTTCCCGTCCGCCACACAAAGGCAGCCCACTGCTCCCCAAGTGGATGGGTTAGATGCAGAGATAAATTTCTCCAATATGAGATCAATAGAATCCACTTATATCATATATTATATAAAGTAATAGCGAGTAAAAAAATTCACAAATTTCCTTGATGGGCCCTTGGCTGGTCCTCTACAAATTCCTTTTTAAACATCTTTAAAAAGTCAAATCATCTTTGTACTAAAATATTCTTTTTCACATGATTTGTGGACATTAGGATCTAAAGAGAAGCGTCATCTCCTGGTCAGACCCTGTAATTCAATAAAAGGGTGGAGTCAGAGTAAAAACATATGCATGCCCAGGAGAAGGAGGGGATCACTTGGCTGCTATTAGGCTGGTGTTTGATTAGAAAGGGCCATTTTGAATGGCTGCTACTGTATACTGTATCAGAACATGCTGTATTAATTTCCTGATCCCTTGACAAAAGGCTTCTGGCATGTTTATGGTCTGTATGGCCTCCCCCAGCTCTCTTAATCTTAAGCAGCTACTCCCAACTTCACTCCCATCTAACTCATAATGATATTTATAAACAACTATACAGAGTACTGAAACTGCTCTTTTAAAAATGAGGAAATTATCTTCTTGTGGCAGCCGACTCAGGTCTTGATTCCATTCTTATCCTTTTGGACCTGAGACACAGTTTTGTAAACCATTCTTTTCAATAGACTTTCTTCAATCAGTATTACTCTCACCTCCCTCTAGTGTTTCCATTCCTACCACTCTGGATCAATTAGGCTAAATTTAGTCCTGCAGCTCTGATCCATCCCCTGTGACTCAGCGCTCTCTCCTGGGGCATCTATTTTTTATTGTCAACCTTCTGCCCCTTTTAGGAAATTTAATATTCATTTTAATTTAATATGAATATCACCCAGCTGTATTTAGTGTATCAGGCAAGTCAAACTCCAAATTTTATCCAAGGTTAATAGTTTCTCTCTCATTTCACAGTTCCTGCAGCTCAAACTCTTCTCAGTTCTAGAGTCACGGTGGCCTTCAAAGCCCTCTCTCATTCACCTCCAACAGCAGTAACATTTTCGTTCTGCATATTTCCATCTACTGAACTTTTTTCGTCCCTCCATTGCCCGGTGCTGTTCTTCTGTTCTAGTTCATAGCCTCGTCAACTCCTGCATTGATTCCCGAAACTCTCTCTTTTTTTGGTCTTCAGAAGAAAATCTTTTATAGCCTTCAGTTGGTCCAGAATTCAGCAGTCCATTTATTTACCAAACCCCCCCTCATTCCATCACATCACCCCAGTCTTACAGGAGCTTCAATGGCATCCGGTCAACTTCAGAATTTAGCTCAAAACCTTACTGTTTGCTTTAGAGGTCATCCATAATCCACCTTGATATTTTTGCATGGAGGTGTTAAAGGAAAGCTCTGTGTTTACACCTTGAAGCTTTCTTTCTCAGGTTTTTTCTGAAAAGAGAACATTCGGGACCAACTCTTTAAAGAACAGTTTATTTTATGTATTAAATAACCATGAGACTTGGCAACATATTTTGATAGTAATTGTAATCTTACTGAGATCAGAGAAGTTATTTTGATAGCAATTGTAATCTTACTGAGATCAGAGAAGTTGCTTTGTGATACAGAGGGCAGTTGCTTAACAACCTTCTTGTGAAGCGGCATCAATAAACATTTAGAGAAACATTTTATACATCTCCAGTATGCCACATCATTACATCATTAAATCATACATGTTTGCAGATGAGGAGAAATCCATGGCTCCAGCCTTATCAAAATATTACACTTTGTTCCTAGCTGAAGGATACCACTCTCATGCCATTCCCAAATCTTTGCCATGTACAGAATTAAGATTATACAGAGGTACTGTCCTAATGAAATAAACTACTGGGGAAAACAATAGTTCTGAAACACAACAGGCAGGTAATATTAGGGTATAATAAACTCACACATCATCAGTGATATTTATCATAACAGACGTATATCTGGAGCGGATCTAAATCTGGGGGAGAGAATGAATCAGTCTTCCAACATGTGTAGGCCTACTGTGAAATAACCACATTGAACATGACATGCTGACATGGATGTAACTTCGAAACCGCCGGGTTTGCTTCCAGAAACATTTAGTTTTAAGAAGCTTCCTAATGGATACCTCAACAAGACTAAAGCTGTTTGCACCTTGTGCAATGCGGAATTAGTTTAATGCAGGAGTTCTTCCAGTCTCAAGTACCACCTAAACGCAAAGCATCCCTTAGCCAATGGGGAAGATTCCAGCCAGGCCAAGTTTTGATGTAGCTCAGGGGAAGAGTCGTGTTAGTCAAACTACATGTCACGATTGTGTCGGAGGTTTTTGTGAGGACCCAAATGCAGAGGCAGGGAGGCTGAGGTGAGTTTTTTGCAGATTTAATGGGATAACTGTCAGGGACTTGAAACCTTGGACCCAATATTCAACAGACAGAGCTGGAAGAGTTCCAACAGTCTTTATTAAAAACGGAATGCGACAGCGCATCAGCACGGATCCTCTGGTTCAGAGTTCAGTCCGATCCCCGAGGGTTGAGAGTAATCCGTGAAGGTGATGTCCTCCGCTTGCAAGGGGCATGGCCCCCCGGAGCTCCGTGAGGTGAGTGGAGCTGATGCCAAGCGACACCGAGGAGCAGCTGTTTCCAGAAGGGGAGGTCCAAGCTTTTACCAGATGATCAGAGAGCCGATGAGGTACCGATGAGGGAATCCAAGCCGTGGTCAGGAAAACAGTCCAGGTTCGGTGAGCCAGCTGCATCCAAGAAACAGTCTAGAACTGATCAGACTAATAGAACAGACGGGCAAAGCAAAACTTGGGATCCACAAGACAGAAACAGGTCACAATCAGAATAATCAGAATAATAGTCAAACACTAGAGTTACTCTCACC